AACCAAAAAAAAAAAAAAAAAAGGAAGTGCAGAGTTACCTGGACATAGTGGCACATGCCTTTAGTTCAGCATTTTGGAGGCAGAGGCAAGTGGATCTATATGAGTTCAAGGCCAATCTTTTCTAGATATTAAGTTCTAGACTAGGCAAGGCTAAAAGGAGAGACCATGTCCCCTCCCATCCCTTGCAAAAAGGAGGAGTAAGAGGAGGAGGAGGAGGAGAAGAAAGAATGAAAGATAAAATGCAAAGGTTTTTTGTTTTTGTTTTTCAAGACAGGGTTTCTTTGTATATCCCTGACTGTCCTAGAACTCACTCTGTAGACCAGGCTGGCCCAAACTCTGAGATCCTTCTGCCTCTGCCTCCCGAGTGCTGGGATTAAAGGTGTGTACCACCACTTCCCAGCTGCAAAAATTTGTTTTTAGATGATCTTCCTTACTTACAAGCAAGGGCATTTTCAAACAGAATATGAAGTTACTTGTACTTTGTTTACCTCTCATTTTTTTTTAAAGATTTATTTATTATGTATACAGAAGAAGGTGCCAGATCTCATTACAGGTGGTTGTGAGCCACCACGTGGTTGCTGGGAATTGAACTCAGGACCTCTGGAAGAGCAGTCGGTGCTCTTAACCTCTGAGCCATCTCTCCAGCCCCCTCATTTTCTTTTTTTAAATGGTGTCTCGTGCCTCACCCAGGCTGGCCTCTGCCCTAGCTAGGTTTCTGTTGCCATGATAAAATATCCTAACTGTGGTAGAATGAATGATAGGCTCCTATCTTTGAATATGTTGTCCCTAGTTGGTGGAATTGTTTGGAGAGGATTAGGTCTGGCCTTGCTGGAGAAGGTGTGTCACTGGGGGTGGGGTGAAGTTTTAAAGAATGAAAGGATCCCCAGTGTTCTCGCTCTCTCTCTGCCTCACAGTTGTGGATCAAGATGTGAGCTCTCAGCCCTTCCCTCACTCTGCCATCACAGACTCTAACCCTAAGACGCTGTAAGCCAAATTAAACGCTTTCTTTTGTAAGCATTTACAAATGGAGTTTTATCCCAGCAATAGAAGAGAAACTAAGACAAGGACCTGTTGCAGGAACTTAGCAGAGTCACTGTATGGGGCAGACACTAGAACAAACAGCTGTTTTTCAGAAGTACTTTGACCTTGAAGGAGCCTTGTGGAAAACAGTGACTGTTTTGCTGAAGGGGCTTTGCAGCCATTCAATGGTTAGCATTCACATCCACCCATGGCCCACCCAGCATCCTGATGTCACCCTACCTGAAGTCCCCTTTAACAAAAAACCTCCCTCTCCTCTTCTCTCTCCCTTTCTCTCTCCCACCATGAGGCAGCACACACCTCTTCTCTTCCTTTCTTCCCCTTTCTCTTCCTCTTCTCTCCTCAGACCCCGCCCATTTTCTCTTTCTCCTCCCCGCTCCCCCCTTAATAAAACTTTCCACATGGATGACGGGTCTGCGTGGTGTGAGTAACTTTCCACAGTGCCCCCTTGGCCACCAGCTGCTGTGTCTGTGTGACATGTCTCTGTCACCCACTGTGGGGCACCTTGGCTCCACCCATCAGGGTCGCCATGCCATGACTTTGGTCACAAGACGCTCAGGCACACCTGATGCTCTTGATTAGTGTGGATTGCACACAATAAAAATAAAGGACTAGAGTGAGGGAGGCATGTGATGCTCTCCTTCAGTAAGACATGTGAATTACGATTAGGGAGCGTGGTATGAGGAAATACTCTATGTAACAATCAATAGGCCTTTGTATGGCTGTTCAGGAGTTCTGTCCATCAGAAGAGGCTGGACCTTTCCTACTGCCACATAGGCTTTAAAATTTCATCTTGGGAATGCCTTCTTTCTTCAACCGACCCGAAGTACATGGGTGCACCCCAACAATGACCAAAAGCAACTTGGAGAGCAAAGGGTTTATTTCAGTTTACAACCCTCAAGTCACACTCCATCACTGAAGCAGAAGCCATGGAGGGGTGCTGCTTGCTGGCTTGCTCTCCATGGCTTGCTCAGCCTGCTTATACAGTCCAGGACCACCAGCCCAGGGGTGGCACCACCCACAGTGAGATGGGCCCTCTCACATCAATCAATCAATCAAGACAATATCCCACCGTCTCGCCTACGGGTCAATCTCATGGGGGCATTTTCTCCATTAAGATCCCCTCTTCCTCATAGGTCTACGTTTGTGTCCAGTACACAAAACCCAACCAGCACAGCCTCCAACTCACTAAGGAGCCAGGCTGGCCCTGAACCCCAATCCTGTTCCCACCTCCCCAGTGCTAGGATTGTACGCATGTTCATCTTTCTGGGATTAAATCTGCTCAAGCATCTAAATGTATGGCCCTAACTACAACACATCATTTCACAGAAACCAACATTTACAGACAATCACCAAGCCTTTGGAGCACTAGCTGACTATAGCATGCTGCAGAAATAAAGAGGAGTTCTAACTTCCCCTGGCCAACCTGTGCAAATGGTCAACAGAGAGCGGAATTGTTCTTCGTATTTGCCCAAATAATCAGCTATGTGTAGTGGGTAGCCATTCCAGCTTTGATCTGGAAGTTCCAACCCCCATTGAGACTGTCCTGTCACGCCTACAAGGCGGGGCCAAGGGAGGCGCCTGGGGACCCGAGATCTGGATCGGCGGGTGCTCTCTCTGTTCCGGGACCCTGGATGGTGGAGGTGGACCAAGCAGAGCTCCAGAGAACACCGCAGGACTTCGATACACCTTCCCCAGACCCTGTGACCTACCTATCCCTTAATTTGTAAGTTACGCCATTAAATAAATCTCCTTTTAACTACGTGGAGTGGCCTTAATAATTTCACCAATAGCTATGTAAAAAAAATATTTTAGAACCGGAGAGATGTCTCGGTGGTTAAGAGCACTGGCTGCTCTTATAGAAGATCCAAGGTTTGATTCCCAGCACCCACATGGCAGCTTACCACACCTGTAATCCCAGTTCCAGAGGATCAGTCTCTTCTGGCTGCCGCAGGCACCAGGCACACAATTTCAAAGCCCTGGCACCCACATAAAAAGCCGGACATGGCCACACACGCACCCGTAGCCCCAGCATGTGGGGTGGAGGGAAGCAGAGAAAGGAAGATGGCTGGAACTTGCTGGCTGCCAGCTCCAGATCAGGAAGGACACTACCTCAAGGGAATAAGGCAGGGAGTGAGAGACCAGGACACCAAACACCCTCCTCTGGGTTCCTCGGGAGTGCAGGAGCCAGAGTATCCCACAGTGAGTTCCTGGGAGACAATGATCTAAGTGAGTAAGAATTAAAACTAGGGGATTTTGTCTATTGGTGGGGGAGGGGTCCCACACTGAAGACAGAACCCTAACAGATGGTTCTAACTTGTGCTAAAAAACATCAGGAGGCAAACTATTCTTTTTTTTTTTTTTTTTTTTTAGCTGAGGATTGAACCCAGGGCCTTGTGCTTGCTAGGCAAGCGCTCTACCACTGAGCTAAATCCCTAATCCCAGGAGGTGAACTCTTAGATTCCTATTTTTCATCTCAATTCATTGTGAGGACATGGCCTCACATGACTTGAGAAAAGCCGGGTGATCCTCATCTTCAATTATATCGACAACTGAGAACTCCAAGCGACTGAACCCAAAACCCTTCTGGCAACATTTCTACAAATTCTGATGTTTATATCAATTAAAAAAAAAAGCCTGAGATATTTGGAGTTTACTTTGGTTTATTTTCTTAAATAATAAAAAAAAAGATGATTTAGATAATGAGGATGACATCACTCTCGTTTGACAGCGTTGACAGTGTGTTGTTATAAATATTTCATACTCAATCCCCCTGCTTTCCTTGAACCAAGTCTTCATATTTGAAGAGACTCTAACCTTTCACTATCTCTCGTTTTTTCAGTATAATTATTTTCTTTGGGGGGGTGGGGTCATTGGGGACTGAACCTAGTCCGACTCACACTAGACAAGTCCTTCCCCACAGTTACATCCCCACCCCAGTATAATTTAGCTAAAGATAAACCCCAGGTTTTGGAAAGGCAAAGGCAGATTTTAAGTCTTCCCTCCATTGTCTCATTCAAAATACTCGAAATTTTTACTAGTTCCCCCTTCTCACACAAAAACAATAACCATACAGCACCCGTGTATATCTAGTTTTCTTCCATTTGCCAGTGGAATCTAGAAATCACGCTATGTCAGGTGACATTTTTCTGCACAACCAAATGGTGCTGCATTGCGGATTCATCCAACCAATCGCAGCTGTGCTGGCACTGACGCTATGTGCAGAGCTCTGGCCCTGCGGGCGACTACACTGCGAAACCAGATCCACACACCAGCCTCCAGGGTAGTGGAGGGTAAAATCACGAGAGCGGCTAAGTGGGTATAGGACAAATGCATGCGAGGTGTGCGGACACCACCAAAATTCCCTTTACGGGAGCAATTCCACCTGGCACCCGCACCGAGGGCTGAGCCTGTTAGCCGAGCCCCAGGGGCGTGGCGAAGCCAGACACCCGAGCATCTTTCCGGCTCGCAGAAATCAGACATTACGTCATCGCAGCGCGTGCTCGGCTCCTGTGCCATCTCTTTAAATTGACTGACCCTCCGCCTTCGAGACCCATCTACGTACGAGGAACACTAATCCCTCATCACTGACGCACGCTCAAAGTGTTTGTGGCTCATTTACCAGTTGTCTTTTACATGACAGAGGGCTCTGCTCCCTCTACGCGGCGGCTTTCTCCCTCTTTCGGGAGAAAGAGCGGGAGGCGCTCCCCAGCGACTTCCGGCCCCGCGGCTTCCCGCGCGCGCGCAGTGGCGGCGGAGGAGCGCGGTTCCCCGGATGTGGCCCCACCGGAAGCCCCGCCCCTGCCGCAGTGCAGCCACATTCGCAGTGCTGTGGGCGATGGCCCTCGCCTCCGCGCAGAGCTCCGTGTCCGAGCGATATCCCGGCCCGGCCGGCCTGCCCGTCGAGCGACCTCAGCCCGCCGGCGAGTCCCCGACAGCCGCGGGCGCGGCGCCCCGCTTACCTGGAAGCCCGGGGCTCGGCCGGGCGCTCCGCACGGTGGTCGCGCTGAGACCCCGCTGCGCCCCCTGGCGGCCTCCGCGAGCAGCGCGCGGGAATGCGCACTGCGCAAAGCTGCCTGTGCCTCGGGGGCGCGCAGCCAGGCTGCAGTACCCGGCGCTGCGCCCTGCAGCTGCCACCTGGCTCCATAGCGCCCCGGACCCCGCACAGCCAGCCTTGCCATTCGCGCTGCACCGTTTGCCTCCGGGTACTTTTTTCCAGCACCAGAAGACAGTTGCTCAGTTTCCCCACAGCGTCTAGCGATTCACTTCCTAAGCCAACACCCACGTTATCATGTCCCAGCTGTTGCAGTTGGGAAAGCCCGCCCCACTCCGAGGGCAGCCCCAGGTGGCTGTCTGAGCTGCCCTCATTTCTGCCCATCCAGTTGGATTTGGTCGATGCCCAAATGAGATGCTCCCTCCCCATTTTCCCAGTCTTAAGCAGCTCCCTAGAACAGCGCTTTCTAAACTGTTTCTCGCCTGAACACATCACCCCTTTTCGCCTCAGAAATTTTCCCAGAACCCCTGATGTATAGGTATATAAAGTAGTTACACAAATCAAACATTAACGAGCCAAAAATTGCAAGGTAATTCTTTGGCTTACTTGTAATTTTATCATTTTCTAACGATGACGGCAAATCTGCGCACTAGTATGCTTGGTAAATCCTGACTAAATGTTTGATACTGTAGAACATAGAGTATTGTGCCAGTTAGGTTTTTACTGCTGTGATGAAGAGGAAAGGGTTTATTTATCTCAACTTGTAGCCCACCCTGAAGGGACGTCAGGGCAAGAAATGGAGGCAGGAACTGATGAAGAGGCCAGGGTGGGGGTGAGAAGTGCTCGCTGGCTAGCTCTCCTTGGCTTGCTTGCTCAGTTAGCTTTCTAACAACCCGGGATCACTTTCCCAAGTGTAGTGCAACAGTAGTCAGCTGGCAGAGTCTGAAAAAATGTCAGTCAAGTAAATACCCCCAGGGACTTGTCTAAACCAATCTTCTGTCGTTCGGAGGTGGTCACCTCCCTGAACCTGTGTAAACTGCCTGATCCTGACTGGCCCAGAGCTTGTTCTATACACCAGGCTGGCCTGGAACTCCCAGAGGCCCCCCTACTTCTCCCTCTGGAGTGCTGGGAGTCAGAGCCTGCGTGCATTATCATGTTCCCTCAAAAGGATTTGAACTATAAAAACATCATGAGCCCGGTATGGTGGCCCACGCCTTTAATCCCAGCGCTCAGGAGGCAGAGGCAGGTAGATCTCTGTGAGTTCGAGGCCAGTCTAGTCTACAGAGTGAGATCCAGGACAGGCACCAAAACTACACAGAGAAACCCTGTCTCGAGGAAAAAAAAAAAAAAGTCATGAAATGGTTACCACATTGTAGCATTGTATTTGGGGCAACGGGACCCATGTTCACTCATATTTGGATCAGAAAAAGTCATCTATTCCCTTTAAGGTAAGAGCTGAGTATTACAGCCACGGTCCTCAGACCATTGAGGGCTGTGGGGGGCCCAAAACAACTTGACCACACAGCTGCCATGACAGGCTTAGAGGCCCAGACACAGCTTCTGACAGACAACAACTGGACCCAGGAAGAGCCATAAGCTGACCCCACCCAGTGGGGCCTGCATCTAAGAGGAAATACCTGACATTCCAAACATTCCCTATAACCCTAGACAAATGTCAGCCAATCAAGGTTCTGAACCCTGGAAATCCCCCTCACCTCAACCTCTGGTATGATTAAAACCCAACACCGCCTGAGCTCAGGGCTCTCTGCTCTCACCGCTGCCTCAGACAGACAGACCAAGCTCAGAGCTTGAAAATAAAAGGCTCTTTGCTTTTACATATGGGATTCGGTCTCCGTGGTGGTCTTTTGGGGGTCCCCGCGATCTGGGCATAACAAGGGCATGGCCCTGAAGGGGATGGCAGGATTTCCTTTCCCTGGCCTTCCTGGTTCAGGATATGAGCGATTTACATGAACGTCCCACTGTTGCTAAGCAACACTACACCAGAGACCCAAAGCAATGACGCTTCCCCATCTTGGACAGAGCCTTCCAGAGCATGAGTTATATAAACCTTTGTACCTTAATTGCCTCAGCCATCTCATTGCAACGCAGAGCTAGTGCGGCCAGCCAGCTCTTGTGAGTCCTTTCCATTTGGAGGACCCTGTAGATGAATGTCACTCATCACCTGTGAAAGCCAGAACAAAGACAGAATGATACCTGCTCTGGTGGCAAGACTGGGAGGCGGGAGTATTTCGATCAGCCTTCATCTGGGCCCTTGGACCCTCTGTGTGCTGCTGGGGAGGAGAAGGGGCCTGGGAGGGGATCAACTAGGGCCCTGTCCACAAAGGCTACACAGGGTGCAGGGGAGCCACGCTGGGTGAAGAAGTTACAAGGTAATTTCCAAAACTGAGCCACATTCACCAGCATCATGGGGCACAGGGTGGAAATCCTTGGTGAAACCCCAAAATACCCTCCCCCACAAAAAAAGGACAGCCACTGTAAACCTTAAGAGCCAATCTTCCAGCGCAGGCCAGACCCCTCCCATCCTCTTCCCCTAGAACCTCACCTGCTGGCCATGAGGTCAGTGGAGAGCTACCACAAACCTTCAGCCTGCCACTTCCCACAGGTGGGCAGTTCCACCCCCTGACCCAGTTGGCCTTGGGATAAAGCTGGAAAGAACTGGGCAGGCTAATTCTAAATTGAGAGTGTGTTTGTGAGTGAAGGTAACCTTAGAGTCTGAAAGCAGAGGAGTTGAAAGTCAGTTGTGTAACGGAGTTGAATTGTTGAGGCCAGGTCACAGTGGCTCACACATGTAATCTGAGCATTGGAGAAGCTGAGGCAGGAGGATTACCACAAATTTTGAGAACCTGTCTCAAAAAGCAATCAAATAAACAAAAGATTAACAAAAGCCTCTGGGCAGTGATGGCACACGCCTTTAATCCCAGCACTCGGGAAGCAGAGGCAGGCAGATCTCTGTGAGTTTGAGAAGAGCCTGGTCCATACAGCGAGTTCCAGGACAGGCTCCAAAATTACACAAAGAAACCTTGTCTCGAAAAACCAAAAAAAAAAAAAAAAAAAAAAAAGCCTTAACCTCCAGCACCAAGGAGTATGACCTTTGGATGTCGGATGTCCTGTGGCGTTTTTTGGTTTGGTTTCTTGGCTTCCTACTGTTTGTAGTGCCAGGGTTTGGAAATTGAATCCAAGGCCTTGCACATGCTAACCAGTGCTCTACCACTGACCTGCATTCCCAGCCTTACCAGATGTGTGAGATCAAAAGGCAGCATCTGGAGAAAGCACCTCAAGGCAGGTGTCATGCCCATCAGAGCGGGAGAGGCCGAGATGGGAAGGCTGTGGCCCTACCCAGGTATGCAGAGACTGGAGAAAGATCTCAATTAAACCAAACAAAAGCCCAGCTGAGCTTCCAGACATCCGGTGCGGAGTGAGATAGCAAATCCTACTGACAGCCAGATTTCACCCGAGCGCAGCGACTCTGCTCCCTCTAGGAGTATAATACACTCATGACTGCCTGCAGCTGAGATCTTTCTGTCGCTTTATCTTTGGCATTTATATTGGCATAAACACTTAATGCACATTTTAGTTTCCCAAGGAATATGCTAACTAGTTTGATTTTTTTCCCCTTTGTCTTATGGTTTAGGGATACCTTGTTAGAGAGACTTTAAAAAGTTATAAAATTTAATAATCCTAAAAGTTCTGATCAATGAAAATATTTTGTTCCTTGTTATGGTTTGAATGTGTCCCCCCCAAATTCACTTGCTAGAAACTTCCCAGATCACCTGTTCCTGGCATTTGAAGTTGGAGTATATGCAAGATCATTAGGTCATCAACGTGGTGGCCGGTGATAGAAGGTGAGACTCCTAAGAGGTGCAGAGAGACACGAGCTGGCACTCTTGCTGTGTGTGGCCATGTGACGCCCTCCACCTTCTTACGATGAAGCAAAAAGGCCAAACCAGGTGCTGGTGCCACTGGCCTTCCCAGCCTCCAGAACCATTACCCGGGTTCAGGCGTTTTCTTATAACAATGTAAAATGAAGCAAGATGGTCCTTTATATGGTGCCATTTCACACCCACATCAATAATAGCAAATACATCAAGGCACGGTGGTACCGTCTGTAGTCCCAGCTACTCAGGAGTGAGGCAGAAGGATAGTGTATAGTCAGGGTTCTCTAGAGGAACGGAACTGATGGAATGAATATATATGCGGGACTTATTAGAGTGGTTTACAGGCTGGTCCAGCTAGGTCCAACAATGGCTGTCTCCCCACGGGAAGGTCAAGGATCAATAGCTGTTCAGTTCACAAGGCTAGATGTCTCTGTTGGTCTTCCCTCTACACTGGAATCCTGAAGAAGTAGGGTCTCATACAGGAAAGGAATGTCTCAGCATTGGGTAGATAACTCAGTAGCCAGGGGGCAAGCAGACAAAAAGCAGTTCGTCCATGGCCTTCTTATGGGCTATCACTAAAAAATGTGGCCGGTCTTCTGACCTCAGAAAAGCCAATCAAGAAAATCCTGCACAGGTGTGCCCAGCCACAGGGGTTTTAGTTGATCCCAGAAATAGTCAAGTTGACAGCCACGATTAGCCATAACAGCTTGAGCCCAGGAGTTCAAGCTATGCTGGCCAACAGAATAAGAACTTGTCTCCAAATTGGGGCTGGAAAGCCAGGTGTGGTGGCTTTAATCCCAGTACTTGGGAGGGAGGCAAAGGCAGGCCGTTCTGTGGATTCAAGACCAACCTGGTCTGTGCAGAGAGTTGTAGGCCAGCCAGAACTGCAAGAGGAAACCTTGTCTCAACTGGGGGGTGGACAGATGACTCCATGGTTAAGGGAGCTCACCGCTCAACCATTAGAACTGAGTTCAGATTCTAGCACTCACCAGGGGTAACTCACAAACACCTGTTAACTCCAGCTCCAAGGGATCTAAGATGCTCTTCTTGTCTCTCAACAGCTCACACACATGTGCACACAGTCTTACACAGACACATAGACAAGACACACACGTAAATAAAATACGAATAATTTTTAAATATAAATTAATTCAATAAAGTCATCTGGATATGTGGCTCAGTGGTGGAACACTTGCCTGGCATGCATGAGGCCCTGGGCTCAGTTGCTAGCACTGCAAAAATAATTTTTTTTTTTTTTTTTGGTTTTTCCAGACAGGATGTCTCTGTGTAGCTTTGGAGCCTGTCCTGGAACTCACTCTGTAGCCCAGGCTGGCCTCAAACTCACAGAGATCCGCCTGCCTCTGCCTCCTGAGTGCTGGGATTAAAGGCATGCGCCACCACTGCCCGGCTGCAAAAATAAATGTAAAAGAACCTTACAGTTATATCTTTAAAGATTCCCACTGCTCTCTGGAGCAGGACAGCAATTCCACTCATATGTTCCTATTGCTAATATCCTCTTCCAGCAAGTATCTATTGAGCATCTCATCTTACAAGAATGGATAGATTTCCAGATGTGTTCACATCTGTTCCGGTTGTTCTCTAGCTAGCATGTTCAGCTTGATAATGACTGTGCTTCCCAACAAATGACTGTGGTCATGTGATCAGTTTCCCACTAGGACATAAGCAATTTGTGTCATCCCCAAAAATTCATGTCAAAGGCCGGGCGGTGGTGGCGCACGCCTTTAATCCCAGCACTCGGGAGGCAGAGGCAGGCGGATTTCTGTGAGTTCGAGGCCAGCCTGGTCTCCAAAGCGAGTACCAGGAAAGGCGCAAAGCTACACAGAGAAACCCTGTCTCGAAAAACCAAAAAAAAAAAAAAAAAAAAATTCATGTCAAAGCCTGATTCTCAGTGTGGTCACAGGAGGCACAAGGATCTCTGGGAGTGATTAATTCACAGGGCTGAAGCATCTGGAATGGGGCTAGTGCCTGTGAGTCATTAGGAGCCAAACTTTGGGCATGCCTGTGTGGGAATTCCAAGGTCAGGCTCATTGAGGTGGAAAGACCTGTCTCAGATGCAGATGAAACATTCTATGAACTCGGAACCAAGGCTGAATAAAGACAGGAAAAGAGCTCATCACAGTCGTTCACCTTTCTCTGCCCCCAACTGTGACAGAGTGTGACCCCACTGCACTCTCCTGCTGCCCTGATTTCCTCCCCACAATGGACTCACCACAGTGGAATGTACTTTTTACTGTAAGTCAAAATAAAAGCTCCTTCCTTATGCTGCTTTCGTGGAGCATGTGACCACGGAAACAAGAAAAGTGCCTGGTACTGTCCCTCATTGAAAAAACCCCATGATTGCCTACATTCCTCCATCAAAGTGAGAGCTGACATCTGTGGACAGGTTCTCCTCAGATATGGAAGCCAATGGCCTCTTGATCTCTTGATCTCAGAATTCCCAGCCTCCACAATTAAGAGAGTAAATTCTATTGACCATAAACCACCCAGGACACAGGGCTGAAACTGTGAGCATAGACTTCCCTCGCACACATAGATATACACAGATATATACGCATATACACACATACACCCAGTACACAGGGCTGAAACAATCAGCATAGACTTCCCTCACACACATATACACACACATATACACAAGGCTGAAACAGAGTGAGTGTAAACGTCCTTCACACACATCTATACACACATCTACACACAGATACACACACACACACACACACACACACACACACACACACACATACACCCAGTACACAGTGCCGAAACAGAGTGAGCATAGACTCCCCTCACACACACATTACACACACCTCATACCACTTCTTGGAACATGGACATGGAAAAATGCCATCTTGGGTAGCATAACAAGACAGAAGGAACCTGTAGGC